AATGTCGGGTTAAACATTTTTTCAATGTTAAACACTTTAAATGCCTGTTCATAAGACTTGTTTTGGATAAATAAATTTATCTTTAACATTTTGTTTTCCAAATACAATCAATAAACATTTAAAATGTTCTTACTGCAGATGCTCATGTTGTTTTTTTAATGTACTCATTTTACAGAACTTTTACTAATGTTATCTAGTGTTTTATCTTTCAGCCAGTTCAATAAATGTGACACAGCTAGAATTTTTACTTTCTTCCTTGATATGCAAAACAAAATAGTTTAACCCAGTAACAATAATTTACAATGGAGGTTATACTTGTAAGCCTATTGAAAAGTTTAGCAGTGCTTTGTCCTTCCCGGGTAAAATATAAGTGTTATTAAAGCATGTCATTTTATGCTTTAATATTTGCTTAAATATATGGTAGTATTTAATATTTATTTTATTTTTTTTGAGACAGAGTCTCGCTCTGTTGCCCGGGCTAGAGTGCCATGGCATCAGCCTAGCTCACAGCAACCTCAAACTCCTGGGCTCAAGCGATCCTCCTGCCTCAGCCTCCCGGGTAGCTGGGACTACAGGCATGTGCCACCGTGCCCGGCTATCTTGTGGTTTTTTTTTTTTTTTTTTTTGAGACAGAGTCTCGCTCTGTTGCCCGGGCTAGAGTGCCGTGGCGTCAGCCTAGCTCACAGCAACCTCAAACTCCTGGGCTCAAGTGATCCTCCTGCCTCAGCCTCCCGGGTAGCTGGGACTACAGGCATGTGCCACCGTGCCCGGCTAATTTTTTCTATTTTTAGTTGTTTGGCTAATTTCTTTTTATTTATAGTAGAGACGGGGTCTCACTCTTGCTCAGGCTGGTCTTGAGCTCAAGCAATCCTCCCGCCTTGGCCTCCCAGAGTGCTAGGGTTACAGGCGTGAGCCACTGTGCCCGGCCTGAGCATTCTTTCCATAACTTATTTTTGGTTAATAAAAACATCTGGCAGGATAGAGCTGGATACTGAATCCACTGACATACCACAAAAGCCTCTTTCCAGGCTACCCCTGATCTATAAATTAGTCCTTTGGATATGAAAGCCTTTTAACCTGACACATGCCTTGTTAAAAAATTTGGATATCTGCTGTATTTATGGCATTGTCCTAATTTATTGGCCTATTAACCCTATCAAAAAACTAATGAAATCAATGTAGTCAATTAATGCTGACCTGTAGGGATCACCAGATCCTTTTCTAAGGCACTAAGCCTGAAAGGCACTTAGGCAACTACCTAACAAAGTATCCAAGGGCAACGCTGCTCTTCTAATAAGCACCTCTCTTCCCCACCTCTTCCTTTGTCTGTCTTCCCACTTTCTGGTAAGAGTGCTCCTTGAATTCTGTTACTCTGTCACCTTCCCTTATAGGGAAATCTTTCTTTGACTGCAAGATCTAAAGACCCTGATTCCTTTTGTCAGAGATAAATCTAGCAGTACCAAAAAAGTCAGCAGCTACTGCTTCTTGCCTCTCCAAGCATGAAGACACTGCTGCCTCATGTGCATTACAGAGGTTTAGCATGTCTCTATTTGAAATGATGAGTGACATGCTAGATGCACGTTTGATACATTTAAGAATAAGAAAAGTTGACCTTGGGTCCTCAAGGCAGTAGAGGGTTTCTATCCTGGTATGTAGCAAGATCATGGGAGATTGTTGCTTCACTGTGATTTAAGAATGGTGCTATTTCATATAATTATCCTTTTAGATTAGAAGATTTGTTCAGCTAAATTAATAATGATTATAGTCCATGTGTTCTATTTAGTTAAAGTCTTAATGACCCTTTCACAGACACAGCAGTAGAATTAAGGTTGAATATATTCATTTCTCTGAGGAGCGATTTCCAAGTAACTGTTGTGTTTTGGGACTTTACCACCAGAGTTTCTCCAAGACGTCTACCCGACTTATGATCTGGCAGAAACCGGGCGTGACTGGAAGTTGTGTGTGTCAGCAATCAACAGCTGTATCCGTAGCATCAGATATGGCCGCGAGAACTCCCCAGCCGAATCCCAGCAGCTTTCAGCAGCAACCCCTTCAGCAGAGTCAAAGCCAGAAGATACTGCCTCAACTAACTGAAGTACCTGAATGTCAACCGTCTAAGTTTTTTAAGCTGTTACATCATTTTGTATGTTTCTCAAGTTATAATTCCAAAATTAGCCTTTGTAGTGGCAGAGTAGTTTTGCACTCACACCTGAAGAAACAGGCAAAGCTCTTTTTCTGCCTGTTAGGGAGGGAATTGCATGAGGAAGACAATGTGATGCTTCATTTCTGGAGTGCAGGGGTGGCCAGTATTTTGATGAGAACCTTTGATGGAGGGAATGAGAGGGAATGCTTCATAGTGATGTCCATTGCTGCTGAATGGAGAGTGAGAATAGCAGCACACTTAGCACTTAATAACAGGTGAAATCTGATTTTCAGTGAGTTTTTATGTAGAGAACTGTAGTTAGAAAAAGTATGATGCCAAGCGTAGAAACATGCACATAAGTAGACATGGTATTCTCCAGGTGAATAGTAATTGTAGAGCTTAGGTTTTAACTCTGGTGCTTCAGAAGCAAGGTTTGGTTTACATACAATCAGTACACCCACAGTGCCTTTCTTACATATCTACCAGAATACTAGGATTGACGTCACATCGTTTGACCCAAGCTTTCCAGAGATGAGATCTATGTTCTCTGGATTTACTACTGATGAGAATGGCATTCTTTGAGTTAATTCCTGATAACGTTTTATCACGGAAGTTTGCTCAGGGTGAACCTAGAAAATCATACCAGGAGACTTCTTGGTTCCATTTTTATAATTTAAATTTAAGAATATGGCACTATGAATAATAAGAATCTGACCAAATTCAGACAGTAACATTATTTTTGGTTTTTGAAATGTCTGAGTGAAAGTTTTAATATGTTTGCTGTGTTTTTCTGATAGATTCTACTAGTCGAAATGCATACAAATTTAAATCTTACATGAAAAAAATTGATCAGAAATTGAATTAGAAAAAAGTGGTCTTAAAGGATATTGGTGGGATTATTAGAGAATTTAAAAATAATTTCATTTTACACCCACATAGGATTTTATTTTTAACTGAAGCACATTGTTTTAAAGGAAGTTCTTGAATGTTTTAGCCATAGGAAATATTGTATAATTTCATTGTTTGATCATTTCTGTTTAAGAAATATTTTGTCACTTTTAGTGCCATCTTTCTACTTCCAACCTCTCAAACAGTCCTCAGTTACATTTATTTTATAGCATTCTTAGTTATTCAAAAAGCAAATTTTTTCCTTGTAATAGTTCAACTTTTAGTTATGGCCATTTGGTCATGACCCATGGCTTTGTCTTAGATAATTGACATTAGTTCAAGTTTTTTATGTGGTAGAGAAACAAATTCAATAGAAAGTAATGAGTCAGTCAGTCAAATAATATAATTTTTTGAAAATTGATGATTCTTTTTATTTTTGTGACTTGCGAGATAGTGTAAGATGTTTTCGTGTGACCAATTCATAGAATGGATGCATAGTGTCATACGATGTGTTTTTTGAAAATTCAACTTTTAGATTATTTTAGTGAAATTTAGTTTTACAAAGATAATTTAAAGGTTTATTTTTAAGACTATTCTCCAAATAAGTAATTTGCTGTAGTATATGCCTTTAGCTTAATAAAAGCACAGTATTTCTACATACATCTTTATATGTTAGGCTATGCCTATAAAGGTTTTAAAAAGTAGATAATTCAAGAACATCTTTCGTAAAAAATCTTCCATAGAGGGCAAAAGTGTTTTGACTAGAGTTATTCAGATTAATTCATCTAAGATAGTCTTTGGCTTCACCATTCAGTTTCACAAATAATTTTAGAAACTCCTGACAATAGAGATAATACAGAAAAGTAATCCACATTTTAAATATAGATCATGATATCACATTGTACCCCATAAACATATACAATTATTATTTGTCAATTAAAGAGAAAAGTAAAATTATATCCTAGGCAATTGTAAATTTCAAATGGTGTATGCAGATTCGTGGTATCTGAAATATTCCCTGGACTAGAAACAAAATCACGAAAACAAAACTTTATATATACAAAAATGTTTCAAGACTTACATGGCCAACTTATAGTGGTTGTTTATATAAGTTATTGAGAGCAACCCTGTCCAATAGAACTTCCACAATGATAGAAAATTAAATAAACCTAAAAAAATTGAAAGAAAATACATTTGCATTGTCCAGTGTGGTAGTCACTGGGCACATGTGCCTATTGAGTATTTGAGATGTGACTAATTAGACAGAGGAAACACATTAAAATTCTATCTCATTTTAGCTACTGAAAATTTAAAATTAAATAGCCACAAATGGGTAGTGGCTACTGTGTTGGATGGCACACTTCAAAATGCCCTTTATTTTTAAAAAAATGTTTAAAATGTTTCCCATGGTTTGAATTACAATAATATACACACAACTTCTTAACAATTTCATTTTATTGAGTAAAATAAATTTTGTT